TGTACCTCAAAGAGTGCATCACAGAAACCATGGCGAAGATTCGCCATGTTTTCGGTGGAGAAGTTCACCTCTTTTACGTTCTTGATGAAGCACAGGCACCTGCGACGTCATTCTCCGCTGCCTTTTGTACTGACGGGCAGCTGCACAGTATTCTACCCGAAATTCTTCGAGCTTGGCAGACTCATGCCGTGGATAATTTTGGTGTATCCTTCGTTATTGCCGGAACCCACATCCCAAAGTCAATATTCAACTGCGCGGGCAATTCAAGTTCGCGGCACCGTTGGACCTCTAACACTGGGGCATTCACCGAATCGACCCAACGTCGCTACATCGAAGCTTTTCTACCTCCTTCAATCCTTGGGTCGCAGACCGCCGATCGTTTAATATCCAGAGCTTGGAACTGGATCCGTGCACGGTGAATACTTTTCACCCGAGCCGCGCAGTAACTTACGGTTTGTAAGTCATCGTTTTACGGCGGGACTGGTCACTATGCTTTTGTTGAATGGGTTTTTGCCTGCCGACGCTATTCTCGACAACTATTTCAACAGCTTCGCCTCCATTCCCCCATGCGACAGCGACACCGACATGTACTGGATCAACTCCGTCCTAAAAAAGGTGGCAGATGAAAGATTCATCATAATGGAATTCTCCTCACTAGCGATGCGTGCGTGCCTTTTACTCACGAGGTTCATCGGATCCTCATAACGACTTCAGACCGCGATACGAAAGAAAATATCAGAAAAGCCTTGTTTCATTACTTGGTCACTGACGAGCATCCACCAGCATTCGGTACCCATAACAGCGAGATGGTTATGAATGGCTTCGGGAGATTCGTTGACGCCGAAACCGATCAAGTACGCGTGGACGAGCCCCTGATCCTAGTCGGGGCCGCGAACTGGCTCTTAGGATGCTCAACACCAGGCGATCATCCTTCCCCCACCTACTACTCCATCCTTCAGCGCGACCCCCCGAGCGATAACGAGATGCTCGCGAAGTGTGTCGCATACTATCTTACCCTTGCCCTTGACAAAAGGCGTCGCCTCTGCGACCTCTTTGCGTTCCCCGGTTCATGTCCCAAATGGGCGAAGCAAAATGCGACGCTGGTCGCTCTTCACTCCACTCCTACTGGCCTCGACGTCTCAGAAGATTGTTCCACCCTTGCGACTGTCACGGATTGTATGGCTGGAACCGTTTCTTGGCTGAAGCACGAAGACCCGACGCCGTTCTGCATCTCTACCAACCCGGATCTGATATTGAAATTCATATTGAGGTTGGAGGACGGTAAATTCATTTGGGTTTTTCTTCGACCTGCTGTGTCGGAAGAAACATATCTGAAGAAGGCGGACCTTGAGTCTATGCTCGTTGGATTACAAGATGCCAATTTATTCGCCGACGAGGTTCGTATGTTCCCATATCGTTCCCTTTTCCTCCTGAAATATTCTTAGACCGACGAACAACTGCGCGATAACGCCAAAGACGCCCTGAAAGCCCTTCCCGACATGACATCCCACCTTGGCCCCTTCGGCGTTCTGCGCGTCGTTGCGTCTTTCCCGGGCCATCCCCGGATGGGCCGCCTACCTCTGAAAACCACTCGGCATGCCGCGAGTTTGAACATGGGTCTATTCCGGCGCATACACGAAAAGATTCTCGCCACAGATATGGTTAATGCCATGGCCTCCAGCGTCGCTGGCTTGCCGCGTGTTTCCAAGCGGAAGGACGATTTTGACGACGGCGAGCATCGGAAGAAGCGGCGTCGTTCCCCCGTTCCTGCGCCGGAGTCTAACAGGGTTGGAACGCGGTCGAAAACAATAAACTTGTAGTCGTTGTTGTGCTTCCCTTGCTGTCATTCTACTTCATTTTCGAGACGTCCGCTGTTGGAAAACCCGCACCGACTCAGTCTTTGGAGCAGAAATTTGGTTCAACTTTCAAAGACTATGTTTATTTCATCACGCGTTGCACCTTTTGTCGTTTGCTGGATAGGCGCGAAGAACTGCTGGAATAATCGAGCTAGTTTACCCCCGCGACGCGACGCGTTCTGTGATCTGACCCAAGGTCACACCGTGCGAATTATTATGCCGATCCCATCACGTTTTTTTTCCATTCCTTTTCTCCCGCTCCCCCCCTTCCCGTTGCTCTTCTCTCCCCGCCCCTCCCGCCATCCTTTCCAGGACAGGAGCCATGGCGTCGACGCTCTGGTCGCGCTCACCGTCAGGATGCATCGCCTCGACTTCGAGAGCGCTGGCCTCGAGACCGTCAAATGCGGCAAATGGTTAGTTCTCGCATCCTTGACTCTGACTGTAGCACATTATATCTCCTACCGGGTGTGCACGACTGTGCACTCCGTCTCTTCGTGTTTTCCGCCCTCTTTATTCCTATGTTGCACAAGAGTAAGAGTACTAACGTTTTTTTTTGTTCAGCTCGTATTTCGGTCTCCTACCTCCTCCGCTCGGCAGTCTGCAGGCGCTCCTATGCATCAGAAGCAGCAGCAGTCCAGCTCACCCCCGACCTTATAACCGACGAAGCCCCGCCGTTTTCCTCATTAAAAGGCAAGATCTCCAAGGAGACCTTCGATGCCATTACTGTGAAGCCTTTCAAGTTCACCACCATGTCCTCGGTCCAGGCCGAGGTTCTACCCATGCTGCCTGGACTTGCGGAGCCATACAACGCTGAAGACCCTCGCAACGTCCGCGATCTCTTGGTCCGAGCAAAAACTGGAACGGGAAAGACCCTCGCGTTCCTGGTGCCCGCCATCGAAGCCCGTTTAAAAAGCATCGAGGACCACGTCGCGGGCAACACTGATACCGGGAACTTGGCTCTGGCAAAAACCCGTTTTGCCCGACGGACGGTCGGGACGCTCATTATCAGCCCCACCCGTGAGCTGGCGACGCAAATCGCCAATGAAGCGCTGCGGCTGACGCACAACCACGCCGACTTTGAGGTGCGACTGTTCACCGGCGGGTCGAGCAAGCGCATGCAGATGCGGGATTGGATGAAGGGTCGCAAGGACATTGTCGTCTCTACCCCGGGAAGACTACGGGATTTATTGGAATCGGAGCCTGATGTCAGAAATGCCATCGCGGAGACGGGCGTTGTGAGTCTAGATGTTTCCTTATTCGCGATCTTCGCTCACTCCCAGTTAGCTCGTTCTGGACGAAGCGGATACGCTACTGGACATGGGTTTCCGTGAGGATATCGAGGACATCAAGACGTTCCTGCCTCCGGTTCCTCAACGCCAAACGCTCCTGTTCTCCGCCACCGTCTCCAAGGAAATTCAGCAGATTGCCCGCTTGACCCTCTCACCCGACCACAAGTATATCAACTGTGTCACCGAGGAGGCGTCGCCTGTGCATGCTCACGTTGACCAATACCACACCGTCCTCCCCAGCGCGAGTGCTCAAATTCCCCATATCATGCGCCTCATCGCCCACGACCAGCTCACCAACCCTGGCACTTCCAAAGTCATCGTCTTCCTCCCGACCACCAAAATGACGCAGCTCGCCGCGACGCTCATCAACGCGCTTGCGCCGTCGACGATGCCCGCGGGGAAGAACACGCGCGTGTATGAGATCCACTCCAAGCGGACCCAGGAGAAGCGCACTCTCATCTCGGACACGTTCCGTGCGGCCAAGGGCGGCGCGACCGTGCTCGTTACCTCGGACGTATCCGCGCGCGGCGTCGACTACCCCGGCGTCACGCGTGTTATCCAAGTCGGCATTCCCGGCGGCCGCGAGCAGTACATCCACCGTGTCGGTCGCACCGGACGCGCGGGCACCGCCGGACGCGGTGACCTCGTGCTCCTTCCGTGGGAGATGGGCTTCCTCACCTGGCAGCTCACAGACGTACCTATGCGGCCCCTCGCGGTGAACGAGCTCATCGACCAGACCACGGCCCTCGCGACCACCTGCGATGAGGAACCCGCCGCGTTCTTCAAGACGGCCAAGTCCCCCGTCCCCGCGAAGCTGTTCAACCCCGAGGTGTCCAAGATCGTGGCCAACATCGACCAGAGCGTCGGCCAGCTACTGCCCCGCCTAGACGAGGAGGCGGTCCGGGAGACGTTCATGTCGTTGCTCGGGTATTACATGGCCAAGGGCCCCGAGCTGCGCGTACAGAAGCCCATCATCATTCAAGGGTGCCAGGACTGGACCACGGGCGCATGCGGTATGGCAACGCCGCCGTACGTCTCCGTCGCGTTCCTGCAGAAGCTGGGGCTGAGCGACAACCGGACGAAACACTTTGGCAAGGCGGCGCATGCGATGCCGGATTACAAACCGCGGGGCAACGCCGCGCCTTGGATGGGCCGCGGGCGTGTCCGTACGAACGATACGGAGCGACCGCCCCAGTGGAAGCAGGCGCAGGAGCAGTACGCCGACACGGATGTCAGCGAGTACAAGAGTGAGCGGTACAAGGGGAGCGGGAATGGATACAAATCTAGTTCTGGGAACGAGTTCCGCGGCGGCTTTGGTGGGCGAAAGGACAGCGGGGACAAGTTCGGGACGGGTGTTGGGTACAAGGGCAGTCCCATGGGCGTCGAAAGGGACTCTTCATCGTCCGGTTCCTATGGACGACCATCTGGCGGTGGATACGGTGCACGCTCCGGTGGCGGGGGAGGCGGATTCGGTGGCCGCTCCGGTGGTGGTGGTGGAGGTGGGTACGGTGCACGCTCCGGTGGTGGGGGCGGTGGCTACGGTGGAGGGGGCGGTGGCTACGGTGGCGGTGGCGGCGGTCGCTCTGGTGGCGGGGGAGGTGGATACGGCGGCCGCGATGCAGGGGGAGGCAAGTACGGCTTGAACTGAGTATTTCGACCTAACTATATTACCATGTTTTCCACACCTTGCTCACGCTACCAATAAAATAATAGAATACTCGCATGGTGTCTCTAGCTTGGGTCGCGAACGTCGGTGATAGGAGATTGAGCAAGACGGAGAGAAGCTGTCGCGCGCGGCGAAAAGAGCACCGGGGAATGGTCTGGCCATGGATCTAGCCCTCCGCGTCCTTGCAATTCCGGCATGGTGTAGCGGTAACATAGGTGCCTTTCATTCGTCGAAGTGGTCGAAGTGGTCGCACTAGCCCGGGGTTCGACTCCCCGTACCGGAACATTTTTTCGTATCTGCTCGCCTTGAAGTACAATGTTTTGTGCCCAGACCAATTTTCCGCGTAGAACCAGTGGTCCTCTTACTGGCCGTCCTTCGTATGGCCAAGACTTGATACTCATTTTGTCCGTACATTTTAGTATTTTAGTAAATACAGAGTCTAACGATAGTTTTGTGAGAGAGAAATAATGATATAATGAACGTGGGGTGGAGTACAGATGCGAAGGAGTGAAATGTCCGGGTCGTGCACGGTAAGTAGGTAGAAATACAGAAGGGGGGGCACGAAGTGTCCACAAGAGCGCGTCAAAAAACAATCATTTCCTGAACGGATTCTTAGATCCAGTCCGGGGATTCGTAGATGGTGGCGTCAGATAATATGCATCGAGCGTGCTCCCGTCCGAGAACCGTGACGTTATATCGCGGTGCTCCTTCACGGGCTCCTTTGGTGCGGGAACGCGATGCGGCATGCCCGTCAGCTGGGAGTAGAGGGAGGGCGCAGACAGTGTACTGGCGCTGTCGCTGCGCCGGTGCGCGTCGTCGTCGCGGAGGGGAATAGTCTGGAAGTGATGATGGTGGTGGTGCTGATGCCGCGTTTCCCCGCGCGGGTACTCGTACGCCGCGAGCAGCTTGTCCATATCCCGCGCGTTACGCGCCTCCTCCGCCGCGCGCATCTTCGCCATCTTGAACCCCTGGTCGCCTTCGCCGAGTCCCACGTCGTTCTCCTCGTCGAGCGGGGCGGCACGCCGGCTCGCACGGTGGCCGAAAAGCTTCTCGCCCCAGCGCACGAGGCGCCATCTCCAGCCCACGGGGTCGAGTTGACGGCGCTCCGCAAAGCGCGCGGTGTGTTTGGCGCGCTGCTTCCGTGCACGGCGGCGCCACAACCAGACTACGGCGAGGAAGATGAACGCGCAGCCGAGCGCCATGAGGAGGATCTCCCACCACGCCAGCGCGCGTTTATTGGTGGGCATGACGGTGGTAGGCGTGTCGATACCCGAAACAGTCGGGAGCGGGGCCGCGTTGGGGTCGGTAGAGACCGAGGGCACATTGACAAGCTCTGAGAGGCACACACCGAGGCCGGATACGACGCTGGTACCCTGTGTGCAGGTCGCAGTGACGCAGGTTCCCGCGCGCAACACTTGACTGGTGCTCGCGCACGCTAAGCATTGACTGGGCCCTGCGCCCGAGCAGCTCGAGCAGGTGCTATCACACGCGATGCAGCTCGACGATGTGGGGTCGAAGAACTGCGTACGCGCGCAGGTGGGGAGACAGCGGCCGTTTGCGAGCACAGGGCGCGTTGGGGGGCAGGATGCGCATTGGGAGAAAAGAGCGCCGGTGCAGGTGGCGCAGTCGGGGTGGCAGGTGAGGCAAGAGGAGGGGGCGCCGGAGGAGGACGGCGCGGGGAATGTGTCGGCGGGGCAGGTGGAGACGCACTTGCCGGCCGCAGCGAGCTGGTTAGAGGCGCAGGTGAGGCAAAAACTTGAGGAGCCGGTGCAGGTCGTGCAGGACGAGCCGCATGCTATAATTGAGAATACACTCAGGAAACGGGTCTGAAAGGATGAGTTGGGGGAATGCGTACCGGTACATGTCAAGTTATCCTGACCGACAAACGTCCCCGCGGGACAGCTTCCGACGCACTTGCCATTCGACAGGAAAAAGCCAGGTATGCATCCCGTGCACTGGAGTTGGTTCACTGTCGAGATCGACGTAAAGTTTGGAATCTTGCACGAAGTGCACTTGGCACCGCAGGCTGTGAAACCCATCAGTAATCATCCTCGAAAGAATAAAAGGAAAACGCACAATCACACTCCGACTTGTCATTATCCGCTATCAACGCCGACCCGTCACACACCCCATTCGCATCGACTCCGACGCAGGCGCCGTTGAAGAGGTATGTCCCCGCTGCGCATTGGACGCAGTCGTTTGACGTACCCGCCGTGCAGGTCTTGCACGAGCCGGAACACGGTGCGCAATTGGCGCCGTTCGCAAAGGCACCGGGTGGGCAAGTCGTTCCGGTCGAGGTGATAGATGCGCTAGGGGTGCATTTTGTCTTGTCGTTGGCGTCTAGCGTGAAGCCCGTTTTGCAGGCGGTGCATATGCCGGTGGATGCGGCGCAGCTGGTGCAGCCGATCTGGCAGACTGTGGAGGATGTAAGTAAGACGAAGCAAGCACGAAAAAGAAAAGACGCACCAGAACAATCTCCCGCGTCGGTTAAGAAGAAACCAGGTGTACACTGGCTACACGCAGTGCCATTTGCGGCGCTGGTGAATCCCGCGGTACAGGCGCAACTCCCATTCGCGCCGCAGACTCCGTTGACACAGTTGCACGGTTGCACCGTCGTCTCGAGGCATCGTCCGCTCCCTGTCAGCCCATCGTCGCACTTGCCACACCCGCTTGGACACGCGGCGCATTGCGGTCCAAAGAACCCTGCGCTGCAGCTCTCGCACGAGGTACCGGTGAACCCGGGCGCGCAAACGCACGTTCCACTGGCGGAGCACAGGCCGGAGGAGGCGCACGACGGCGTGCACGCGGCGGATTCAATGTCGAAGAGGGTAAGGCCGGCGGCGCTGGGTGCGCTGCTGGGCAGCTGCGCCGTGTCGGGGATGGAGTCCCAGAAGATTACGCGTTGAGCGGACCCGGCCGTGGGGGAGTTGACGGCGATCCAGACGTCCGTGGAGAGGGCGAGGGAGAGAAGGGAGAGAGGTGTGGATGAGTTGATGGCAATCGGGGCACCGGGGATGGAGGTGAATGCGGGCTGGCCCGAATAGAGAGGGCCCGCATAGATGGAGAGACCCGGTTCCTGAGCAACGTTTAGAGGAAGGGCGGTGGAGGCGGTGGAGTTCTTGAAGCCCGGGGAAGAGGCGAGGGTTGCGGAGGAGGAGGTGAGGAGGTCATGGAGGAGTTGGGGATTTGTCGTGGAGGTGTATTGCCCTGGAAGAAGGAGGGCTGGCGGGGACCCTGGGGCTGATATTGTGACGCCGACTACAAGAGAAGATTAGTGAAGTCCTCTCCGCGTAAAGTTTAACGGACGCACTTGATGTATTGGAAAAACCTTGAAGGCATTGGCCTGCAGTGCAGACGATGGTTGAAGTATTACTTGTTGCCACTATGGAGGGAACGGAGTTAGTACCCGGGATGCAGAAGAGGCAAGACAAGGCACTCACGAGTACTGACAGAGAAGAGGGCTGGTAGAACAAGCATGGCTTGCTCGTCGTGAAATTACACGGGATGGTGGTGGTAGCGGTGAGAGAGAGAGAGGGAGGACAACGCTGCCAACGCCCAATTAGGTCAATGGAGAGCTCGGACATTGTGGAACGCGGCGCAGAAGCCTTTTGTTCCCGGTCCGAGTGGCCACAGTGGGCGCTATTGTTTGAGAACAATGGCTTTTTGATTCATACTCTTTCTGGCCGTGAACACGTCAAGTTTCCTCCATTCTGCCACAATGAAGACGAGAAGGCAGTGTCCTATTCCCCATTCAAGTTTCGAGGCCATCCGGTAAACATGAATGCGCTGAGCTTAAGCATTGCAAATGCACGAGTTGCGCGGTAGAGAGCACAAGGATTCGCGCAAACATTGGCCCAGAGGGTAGAGGATGTAAGTGGTCGAGGCGCCTAACCAGCTTTGAGGCTGAATTCAGTCGATTTTGCAGTTCAGGTTGAGATTCGAGGTTGGGAACAATAGGTGACCGGTGTTGTCGGTTATTTGTACACCTCCATTACGACTTCGAGTGTAAACACGCCAAAATAACGCGTTCGTAAAAAATTCTAAGTCTCCATAAAAACACAGTGAATTGAGGAAACCCTACGCGAAGCCTAAGTACAGCGAGTAGTTTTAATATACACAGGTGTTGTACAGATAGCAGCAGCAGACACGATAGCAATGAGCAAAGCAATGAGAAAGCGATCTAAGCAAAGCAGCAGTCGGAGAGACGACGGGAACGTCCGCCTCTTTATTTGGGGGAGACGGAGAATGAGAGCGATTGGACCTTGTTTCGGTGGACCCGTGGTTGAAGGAATTCCCTCAGAACACATAGGCGAGGTGGGCATAAAAATGCGTCCGGTCGGTGGTGTACAGATTCACCAAACGAATCTGTGTAACGGAGCGCACGACGACCGAACCGGGCGCCACAAGCGCAGGGTTAAATGGGTGAGACTAAGGTTACTTTGTGAATTGTCGCCAGGCAATAAAAGGCGGAGGGGCCTTACCTTGAAATAGGAGAAGTACGCCTCCGCGACGCTGAACGCCAAGTTGAATCGCGAGACCGGGCGATGAGGACAGTTTCCCGCGATCTGCTTCGTGATTGGCGGATATCCTGGGTGCTTGGAAGGAAATAAGCACTCGGACCGCCGCACCAAGCCAAACACACAAACAAACCTCAATCGTCAACAAAATCCTATTCAACGAGGTATCGAGCACGCGGTCCCGCGGCTCCTCAAGCACGTCCCGAAAGTCCAGAATCTCCGTCAACGACACCCCATACAGCGTCTGGTGATTATTCAGCGCCTTTAGCGTGAACGGGATCGTCACGAGCCCGTGCAGCTGCGGCAGCGGCGTTGGATGCTGCGCCTTCAGCCCGTGCGCGTACTGCGAGAACTGGGGCCCGTGGCTGCCCGCGACCTGCCGGCGGCTCTCGATCTTGAGGTCGTGCACACATTGAGTGCACGATGGGTTACCGGCAGCCTCGAGGAGGGTGTGGAAAATGCGCGCGGCGGCGTCGGTGGGCGAAGTGGAAGCGGTGGGATGCGTGTGGCGCCCGGAGGAGGGGGACTAGGAAAAACACGGGGAAGAGGAGTGCGTTATGGCTGAAGAAGGGGGTACGGCTTACGGTGGTGGTCACGTTGCGCGACTGGCGGTGATGGCGCGGAGGCGAAGTCGGATTAGCGAAGGTGGGGGGCAGCAACTGCAAGAAGAGCGTGAGCACGGTCTCTAGTCGTACGAGTGGACAAATATACCCCAGGGGCATGCGGCTGGCCATTGGGATGGCACGGAGTCTGGGCATATCGGCCA